TATCAATACTTCAATAGATACACATATTTGTTGTATCAATAGAGTACATCCCCTATCTCTTCCCAAACAATGTCCAGTTTAGGAGTCCATCCCTTATCTTCCCCTAAACTGTGGAGTACATCTCATATCTCCTCCCACACAACACAATGTATATAAACACGTATCATATACAAGGTTAATCAATACATAAGTTTGATGTATTATATCCAACGGTCATATTCGATGACATACTCAATGTGATTAGTTTCGGTTTTCCCTAATCAACATGCAATGTCTACAACATTCAAGACTATCTTCCACCGATAGCCCAAAGCAGATATTTCTAAACAGAACATAAATGCAACAACAGATATAATATCAACGTTTACCATAGGTGAGTGATAAATTAATCCAACTACACCATTTAATCACATAATTTTCCAATTTCATTATTCTCAACTCAATTTCACATTTCCCAAATTAATTATACAAATTAATTACTTATTACAATTAGGTCATTTACCCCTTTATTCCAATAATAGCCCTAAGGCTTATTTTTCACCCATAATCTACAAACAACCTCCATTTCAAGTCTATAACACAAATATGACTCAAACATGGAAAATCCCTCTTTTAGAAATTACAAAACAAACCCTAACTTTTCCAAAAATTACCCAACAACCCCAACATATCAAAATGCCAAAATTTAAAGACAAAGCTCATAAGATGGAGTAGGATATCCCTATCTCGAAATTAGAAGCTCAAAGGAGAAGATGATGAAAACTCAGTGCTCCAAATCCAAGACTTTTCAGATTAGGATGTAGCCCACACAACCCTCTACCTTTCTTACAAAGAACTTAGGGTAGAAACACACTCTATGTAGATCAATCCCTAGAGAGAAGATATGTAGAGAGAAAGAGAGAGTCGGTTCTAGGGTTTTGAAAATGAAAGAGATGAAAAAGTGAAGTGTTTACCCGTTGTTGCCTACTGATATAACACAGGCTCGCTCGAGCGAAGGATTGGTCGCTCGAGCGACCAAACACAAAGAATTCTCCCTCGAGCGTAGAAAGCCTCGCTCGAGCCAAGAATGCGAAGCTTCAGGTCTGCAATCCAGAAGCACGCTCGAGCGACAGAATACTCGCTCGAGCGAAGAAACTCAAAACATACACCTCGCTCGCTCGAGCGAAGGAAAGCTCGCTCGAGCCAAGAAACACAGCTCTTAGGTCCAGAATCAGACGCAGACGCAAGCTCGAGCGAAGGACCTCTCGCTCGAGCCACCAGATACAAAACTCAACTCTCGCTAGAGCGAAAAAACCTAGCTCGAGCGAAGGATCTAAAACAAAGAGCTCGCTCGAGCGACAAAGTCCTCGCTCGAGCGAAAACACCAAAATCTGGGCAGCAACCATTTGCTCCCAATCACACCCAACCTATAACAAACCTGCCCAACACATCCTATAACTCATAAGTAAGGAATTAAAGGATAACAACAAGATATAACAACAGCCAATACTACGGAACATAAGTTCAGAACACTGTACATAAAGGGGTAAAACCCGGGATCGCTATACTAAAATAGCTAAAATATCAAAAAAAATATTATTAAAACATTTACTTTTTTAAAATTTTTTTATCCATGTAGTTTTTTGTAAAAAATTAACTGATTAAAAATTCGGTAATTCGGGAATACTGCCATGTGATGTTCTATAATAGTATGATTGGTAGAGAATGTAATGTGTCGTCCCGAAACTAATACAATAAATCATCCATGACGATAAATAAATAACAATATAAATCAGAATATAATATCCTTCCATTACATAAGATTTAGTTGTACAAAGGGTGACGCTTGCAAATATACATTCATAAGTCCTAAACCTGAATCTATAGCATATGCCAACAACAAATATATGAAATAGAAGTTAAACAAATAACTGAAATGCTCTGAAGGCTACAACTTTCCAAGACTATACTTGGTTACATCAAAATGGATTTAAATCCAATATATATAAAGCCCTAGACTTGTACAAAATAATAACAAGTAAACAAAATGAAGCTTTTGCTCCAATTCCCCCAGACTACTCTTTTGGCGGAGGCATCTCACCAACACCTAAAAATGGTTCTCCCATATAGGGTGAGCTAAAACGCAGTAAAAATAATCCAAAACAATGTATGAATCTTAACAAAGATATAAGATTTTATGTATATGCCATGCTCATGATCAAAACGTTTCATTTCTCTTTCCAAAACCATGCAAGTCCGGTTTATACCACAATCCATCATGTATTTCCTTTACATTAGAAAATAGGGCTATAGATCATAATTCTGGGAATCTCAAAATACACTATTTCACGAATATTTCGTTCGTGGAAAGCCGTCAAACGACACCCATGTAAACGTAGTCTATACAAGCACTACTATTGCCATTTTAATGATATTTCAGCCACGGAAACGGGAACTCAGATTCACCTTGGACACATAAGCCAACTTAATTCAATGAAATATATCCCCTTCCCAGATTCTCCTCTTTTTCTCCAATTACATTATACATGTACAATGTATCAAGATGTGACAATACTCAATGCAAAATTAGTTTCAATTCACCTAATTCTCATGCAATTTCTACAATAATCATAGTTATCTTCCACTAATAGCCCAAAATAGATATTTCTAAATAGATATAAAATCTCCAATACATATAAACTTTCCAAATTTTGAGATGTGAGTGATAATACATATCCAATCTCACCATCCATATCAATATCCATCCAATTTCACATTTCCAACATCAATTTCATTTATTTATACAAAATAAATATTTAAGACATTTAGGGAAAAAATCCCTTTTTCTTCCAAAATTCATTCCAAGTATCAAAATCAGTAATTTTATCACAACTCAATCTCATTTCCAATCCCATAATCATTTTCAATACATCCATTTGAAAATCCCTCTTTTAATTTTAAACAAAAGCCCTAGATTTGTTCAAAATTCTTCAAAACTACAAGATTGTTTTATAAAAACAAATAGCTAAGTCAAAACTCATACAAAAGTTTAGAGGATCCTTACCTCAAAGCTAGAAGACGAGATAAACACAGATGAAACTCGGATGAAGTCGAAACCCAACTCTATTCGGATGAAAACGAAGCTCTAGGTGAGCTCTTTCTTTTTAACAAAGGGAGTAGGATGAAGAAATCACTAGATCTAGGTGTATTTGTAAAGAGATGATGAGTTTTAAAGAAAGAGAGTCTCAACTTAGGGTATTGAAATGTTTTAGATAAAGAGAGATGAAAAACTGATGTAAAATTGCATGTTTACGAACTAATATATGAGCGGTTCGCTCGAGTGCAAGATGTGTTGTTCGAGCGCAGAAGACACACTCTCAGTAGTTTTGCAGATAGAGGTCGTCGCTTGAGCGAAGAATACAAACTCCCAGTATTTTTGCAGACCTGCAAAAGTACTGGAGTTTCACAAAGACCACTCGAACGCAAAAAGTGTCGCTCGAGCGAAGGAACAAAAATTTGGGCAACACAAGTTTGAAAAACAAGCCACCAACCTGTTCCAAACATAATCAACGCAACTTAATAGCCAAATTCAAGGAAGGAAAAGAGGGATAAGACATGAACAACAATACAAAACAATGAAATCCGAATCTAGAATACCAAATGGGTCGGGTCTTAAACCAGAATCACTATAATAAGTATTGATTATTTATATTAGGTGATTGAAAAACATGAGGGAGTATGGCCACCTAATACTGCAGGACTATTGTATAATTTTTGTTTATAATAGTTAGTTCCTAAAACATTCCCAAATACACCTAAAAATTAGGTAAAATTATTGGAATTATCATGTTTCCAGGTGGACGACGTTATTTGGGTGGATTTGCTTTGTTGAACTCATGTTGGTGGGCTTACACAAAGTCTCCTAATGAAATAGAATAATCTATGAGTAAATCTTGATAGAGTAAAAAATTCAAATCCATACGACTAATGAATCTGCGACATAGTATGTGAGAGTAGCTTGGATTAGAGATTGTGTCAGAGAGTAATTGATTAGAATTAAGTTAGAATGGCTATAATATGTTGTGAAATTGTTGATGATAGAACAGACTTGAATGGAATTTAGACCAGTCCCTATATTTGATTCACACATGAGGGACAAATTATTGAAACATGTGTGAAGATTCTTACATAAAAAATAAGTCAAAAACAAAAAATTGATCTTAATATATATTGGATTGACTTATCATTTATCGACTTGAATTTTTTATTTGACTGTGAAATTCAAATAATATATGTTGAGAGCGTATGTGAACTATGGACTTTCTTTCCTACATATTGATGCAGTGTTTCTAGGACTCTCAGGAGTCCCAACAAATTTCTTTACCCTTGTAAATATATTTTTAACTCTATTGTGACAGCTTTCTTGTTAGGGCAAAGATTATAGAATAAAATAAATTAATAAATCTGAAATATATTTTTTTCCCAAAAATAAACACCACATACATATCGATCATGCATATATCACTATGGAAACTATTTCTCAATCTAATCCAATGTGCAAGTCACTTGAGGACAATGACAAAATTGCATTTTTTGAGAAAAAGAGGATTTTGAATATTAGGTCATAAATTAATGTTGTTATAACGTTGTAGGAGCAAATATTTTTTTTTTAGGTCAAAGAATATATCCAATATTTTTGTTCTGATAGTGTAAAACTATATTAACTATCTTCGCAATAAACTCAATTTTATGATACAATAGCCGTTTAAGATTTTTTTTAAGTCTTACATTGAACATCACAATGAGGCCTTAGGTCTCAAACAAGGCATTTGATAATCGAGACATTTGGCAAGAATGTTTTTTTGGGTGAACCTTAAGCAAACTATTGAAAAGCTTAAATTGTTCAGCCGACCCTATTACATGTTTGAATGGTGAAGTTATTTGCATAGTAATAACATGATTGGATCCATACTGCCTCTCAATAGTAAATGTTATTCACATAAGCGTATCTTTTAAATTCATTTATAAGACAAATGGATGTCAAACGACTTTTATTCTCATTTGCAAATCCCACAATATTATTCAATGGATATTGGAGTAGTAGTACTGGTAGTAGTAGTAGTACTCTATTCAATACATGGATCAGTTGAACAGACCATACATTTGCCATTGTTACAGATCAGAAGACGCTAACATGGCCGATAATTATTTGAATTTGCTACACTTAATTGTGAGCTAGTTATCAAGTGCTTTCTTCAACAGCTCTCTAAACTGCTGGCGAATAAAAGGAGCTAGATCGTCCTTGATTTGATTAAAAGATTTTGAGTCTGGGCATTCACACACTGCCGGACATTGGCACTGGAACTCTGCTGGACATTGCTTGTAATTTCCTTCACTCGGTTGCTGATCACCTTCATACACAACAAAACAGAGAATTTTCATGATCATTATATACGCTGTCTAAGGAATCTGATGTCTGGAATGAAGTCTGGAATTCAAAAGCATTATCATTATACCTTCCTTGTTACCAAGTGTTCCATTCTCTACGCTTGCCTCCTGATCGCCTGCCCCAAAATAAATAAATAAATTTATCAAAAACAATTTTTGATTCAGTAATTAATTTTTTCCTCCAATCTCAACCGAACCAAACCCATTATAGCCCTCATACCAGGACTGGTAGTGGTAGTGAGGGAGCCCTCCTTATGTGCCATAGTGATAGTGGTAGTGGTAAAAGTAAAATCAACTTCATCTAAGCCAGCCTCTGCATCACCTGCACAAAATCAAAGCAAATTACAGTACTCGAAAGACACAACTGGCAGTAGTTACTAATTTTTCAGAGAGTATCCGTAAAGAATGTGAAAAATTGATGAAAGTATGCTTGAGCCCTTACCATGAACGTAGCCTATGTCATCGGATTGTGCAGTGGTTGACGGAGAAGACGAAGCCAACAGGAGGAGTAGGAGAAGAAGATGGAGGAAGACTGATCTGGAGCCTGTTCGAGCCTTATATTCCATTTTTACTCTTCTAGTTTTTCCTCCCTCAAACAAGGTCAGTGTAGGTTTTTAAGAAAGAAAAGTTGTGTACTGTCTTAAATTGGCTGCTTGGGAATTTTTTTTTTATTTTTTATTTTTTTATATATATATGTCACTGTCTGGTTCCAATTTTCACAATTCGGTTTTTTTTTTTTTAATTGAATTTTTTTTTTCTGTTTTTTTGTTTTTGGTTAATTTTTTTAAAACTCTTTTAAGCAATTTTTTTTAAAATTTTTAGCTACACAAATATAAATACAAAAAAGTATAATATTTGCAATTTTTTTTTAAAAAAAAATTAAATACCAAAAATATTTTTTTATAAAATACGAAAATTCAATGCATTTTCATATTCTTGTATATTTATTGATTTTTTAAAATAATGTTTTTATAGATATTTTATTTTTTTAATACATCTAGGTTAGGCGCATCTAAAATGTAAAAAATTTACTTAAAATATTAAAAAAAATCACTAAAAACAAAATAAAATACAAAAAATAAAAAAGTGAATTTTCAAAAAATTGAATTTTGAAAATTGGAACCAAACCTAGATGAATCTAAAAAATATTAATATTTTTTTTTTATAATTCACCTTACGTAGACGAATCTTAAAAAAATATAAAATTTTGCAGTTTTCTAAAAAAAAAAAGAATTTAAAAAAAAGCCAAAATAAATCTAAAAAATTAACTATTTTTGGCTTTTTTTTTTCTTTTCTGGATTTTTTAGAACTTTATAAATAAAAAGAAAAAAAAAAAGCAATTTTTCAATTTGTCTCATCAAAATGAAATTAGACGGTTAAAATTTTTACTTATATATACACACAAACTATTTACATAGCCTTCCAAAAGTCTTTAATTATAACTAACCTTATAGAATTTTATTGAAATAACTATTATAATAAGTAGCTCATTGGAGTGACTAATAAGCCTGGTTTAAAGAGTTCTTAAGGCCCGTTTGTTTTGGGAGATAGATGAAGGGATTGGACAATGATAGATGTAGGACTCACTATAACAGTGTTTGTTTGCAAAATAAGGAAGGTGATTCATAGTCCCCTAGGACTATGCTCACTATAATAGGGTTTGTTTGCAAAATAGGGAAGGTGATACATAGTCCCTTAGGCCCCGTTTGTTTTCCACACTAGCAGTGTACTCCGGACTGTTAGTGATGAACAATAAGATTAGCTTATGTTTGTTTTGGCTTTTGAACTCCCATTTCATAGTCCCTTCGGCTTAGGATAAGCCTTGGGCAACGGATTAGCAGTCTGGGTTGGGAGATGATATTAGCAAAGTAGTCCGTTCGGATTGGATATTACCGGACGTCTGCCCGATCAATCGATAAATAGCAATTTTTTTATTTTTTTTTTACTTGTTGGGCATTTTTTTTTAAACATTAATGTTTAATGTTTTTATTTTTTTTGTTAAGTAAAAATCATAATTTTATTTGTTTTATTATTTTATATTTATTTTATATAAAAATAATTTAAGAATTCCTACACCAATAACTATCATCAAAACAAACACAATTTTACTTAATTCCCTTATTATGAATCTCCTCCATACTACTTCTGAAAATAAACGTAACCAAAAAAACGGTATTTTTATTTTTATTTTTATTTTAAATTTACAAATAATACTCTATTTGGTTTGGAGTTTTCAAAAACAGTTTTTGAATTTTCAATTCGTATTTTTATACTTTTAGTGATTTTTTAAATATTTTTATTTTTATTTTTTAGATCCACTTAATCTTGATATACTTAAAAGGTATAAAATTTGTACAAAAACTTTTAAAAAATTTATTGAATACAACAAAATGCGAAAATTTGTTTTTTTTTTTTTTTTTTTTTTTTTTGTGTGGGTATTTTGTCATTATATATATATATATATATATTAAAATAATATAATAAAAAATATTTAAAATATAATTTTTTAATATTAAAATATATCAAAAATACCAAAGGATATTTATGATATTTCATATAATTAACCTCCTCACTAAAATATATTACAAATTAACACAATTTTTCTTAATCCCTCACTAATAATTTCCACACTAATAGTCTCATCACTGACCATTTCTACGCTAATAATCTCACCTAACCTAACTTCAAAAACAAGAGATGCTGGGCCTTCTCTATATATGTGCTTTAGTGTGGTTCTTTCCATGAACAACCTCATAAATCAAAGAACTATCTAACATAACTGTATCAGTTCCCTCCTACCCCAGTAGCTACCATGATGAAAGGGAGTGACGATCTTTCAATACTTACACAAACCATTTGTAACTGCATCTTAGTCACCCAATAACTGTTGAAATCCCATTTTATAACAATCCTTTAAGGCCGCTTTCCAGTTAGAGGATTTGATGAAAACACAAAAAAGAAAGAAAGATTGATTGATAGGATTCGAATTCCAAACTATATTTAGTTGAGTTGGAAAATAAACAAATAAAAGAGTATGCCTCGTTTAGGAACATATTACTTTAATAACTTTTTAGTTTTTTAGTAATCATCCTTCAAGGCTGTTTTCGGTTAGATGATTTGATGAGAAAGACGGAAAAAAAAAAAAAGAAAAGAAAATCAATCGAATTCGAATTTCAAATTATGTTTTGTTGGGTTGGGAAGTAAAGAAAGAAAAGAGTTTAAGTGAACTTAAAAGACAAAAAGTGAGATTGTATTTTCTTCTCCTTTTTTTTACCTGTATTTTCCATTATAACCAACCAAAAATTGAGATTGCATTTCGTTTTTTCTTTTTATTTTCTCTCATCAAATCATCCAACCTAACACAACCTAAGTGCTTGAAACCAGTCAGTATTTTACGATTCACGATATGTATCTTATGATTTTGTATTTTTCAAAAGGAATCGATACTATCATCGATAGTTATCTTAAATTAAATGCATCTTACGATACATATGCGACACGTGATGTGATATACGATACGAGATACATAATGCGATACGCATGTTACATAAATACTTAAATTTCTTTAGCAAATTTGAAAAAAAAAATTTCAAATTATTTATGTAAATTAATATTGTCAAAAATTTTAATTAACTTACTAAAAAAAAGCTATTGTTTAAATGAGAATGATACATTTCAGTCTATTTCTCGACCTTTTTGACATATCTATTATATGATTTAAGAATGTTGAGTTATTAATTTATGTCTTGTGAAGATAATATGTATTGCTGGATATTAAAGTATTTTTGATACACGTTACGATATGATATGCGATTCAGAAAAATTAAAAAACGATACATGATTCATATCCTAATTTAACAAGAATGCTTGAAATGATTATGGAGGAATTGATTAATTAGTCTAAATCTTGCTTTAAAATAATTGTCAAATGCTTGGAAAGATTGTCAAGGAATCACTTGAGTATGAAATCCAATATCAGAATAATTGTCCAGTACATCAGAATAATTGTCTAAGTACATGAAAAGATTGTGGAAGTAATCCTGAAGAAATCCTTGAGTAAGAGTTGCACAAGCTTAAAAATTCTACTGTAGAATTCCGGTAGTGCTCACAAAGATTGTGGAGCAATTGATAGAGTTTGAAATCTTGCCTTAGACTATAATTTTAGCATTTTCTAACAACAAATTTACTTAGAGTATTAGATGGCCATGTTCCCTTATGTTTATTAATTATTTAACATAAATAATTAATACTTTACCTTTTTTATCAATCATACTATTATAAAACGTCATATGATAGTACTCCTGAATTACCAAATTTTTAGTGAGTTAATTTTTTACAAAAATACGTGGATAAATTTTTTTTTAAAAAGTAAACCTTTTAATAATATTTTTTTGACATTTTAACTATTTTAGTATATCTTCCCAACACCCTTGATCTCTTATTTATATACTCACTACAAATCTTTCATTAAACAATAACGTTCCTAACTTTGTATCTTGCATTACTTTTGACAAATACCCTCTGCAAGGTTCATAATTGCAATTATGTACAACTATTTTTTTTTAAGTTAATTATTTTAAAATCCTATTTACAATAACGTTCCTAACTTTGTATCTTGCATTACTTTTGACAAATACCCTCTGCAAGGTTCATAATTGCAATTATGTACAACTATTTTTTTTAAGTTAATTATTTAAAAATCCTATTTACAAATATTATGGTAACTTAGGTTCTATTTAAAATTTTTTATATCAATAAGTCCTATTTAATAAAATTAACAATATTGTCAATTTTTTTAAATTTTAAAATTAAGAACATTATCAATTTTACATAGTAATGTTCCAAATAATTATTTCACTAATTGATAATAAAAGAAACAGAGCATGAGATTAAATGTTTTTGTCATTTTACTTATCGGTTTGATTCAATTATCCAATAACATCGAAAAAATTATCAATTTTTTTCATTTTTTTCATTTTTCATTTTTTTTTACAGATCAATGTTCTATCATCATGCTTCTTTACAGACACAAGATTTTTAATTTTGCACAAAAAAAAATAATTCAGTTTGTTCAATTTTTTCAAATAAAAAAAAAAATTCAATGTGTTTGGTTTTAGTTTTCTGAATTTAATTTTCTAGAAATTGAGTTTTTTGTTTTTCGTGTTTTTTTGTTTGTAGTGAATATTTTTTAAATTTTAAGCAAGTTTTTACATTTTTTGATGTACCTTACTTAGATGTATCTAAATAGAAAAATATTTGAGAAAAATATTTTAAAAAATTAATAAATACATAAAAATATGAAAAATGTATTGAATTTGTTTTTTTTTTTTTTTTTTGGTATTTAGTGAATTTTTTAAAGTTTTTTTCACAAATAATATATTTTTTAAGTGTATTTAAGTTAGGTGTGTCTAAAAATTTTAAAAATTACTTAAAATATTTTAAAAAATCATTGAAAAAAAAAGTAAAGAGTAAAATTTTTTGCAAAATGTTTTCTGGAAATCAAAACAAAGAAAAGAGTTTAAGTGAACTTTAGTAACTAAGTTGAAAAATATGACTTTTGCACATAATTTTTTTTTAGTTTTTTCAATTTGAAAGTTGATGTTTTAAAGTTCAGAAAATCAAA